TGTAAATTTATTACCGTAATTGCAGGTGAGTCACGTAAATTAATGTTTAAAACAAGTCGTCCCCCACCCCACCCCCCGCCAAGACTAATTTCCTAGGGGAAGCACTGGTACTAATATACCTTCATAGCTTCCCAGATAGCCTTCTAATAATACTAAAAAAAAATTTCAGTTGAAAAAAATATACAGTAAGTGTAAAAATTTCTCAAACTTCGCAACAATGGATCTACCTTCCAGTGCCTACTTGCACGTTATCACCTTCTTAAAATAAATGCTCTAACTCAGGGATGAGCAACTCAAACGATGGAAGGGACCACAGTTTTTTGTTGACACGACCAGAGGGTTACATAGCACTGCACATTTACCCAAATGTAATAAAGCTGCCATTTTAAAAAATGTTTAAGGCAACATACAGCAAAGTAGCTTAAAGGGCCAATATTATGTNATATTGGTCTGTGTGGGTGGGCTTACGATACACGCCAGTTTTCAACCGTCCTCCATCCGAGTATCAGTCACATGGAGGCAGGACTCAAAAGCCTGAATTTTGCCTGAAACTCTCAGACTGAAGAAGTCTCTTGGAGGAGAGACGAAACGTTTCATTAGAGAAGAACCCGTCCAGAGGACCTATACAATTTTTTTCCTTTTCACGAACGATCCAAATATTTTGAACGGCTCTTTACAACGAACAATGGGAGCCGAGTCGCGGGCAGGAATGAGCCATTTTTAGTTTTATTTATTTAATTCCTCATATAATCTTCATTTTTTATCCTTAAATCGCTCCCGCTTTGCTTTTTCACAGAAAACAGGCAGAGCGGTGGAACTACAGAAGCTCACGGGCAAGGGGGACGGGGGGTTCTGCTTGACAAAACACATGGTTCCACCCACGTAAAGTGACGACGTCATCGTGCCGCTGTACGTGATGGCCGTACGCCCTACTTGATAACATAACGTAGGGAAATACGTTATGTCATCACGTAGGGAAATAKGTCATCACGTACGGCGACGTYACGTCGCCGTACGTGATGACMTATTTCCCTACGTGATGACATAACTCCGTTCAAATTCCAACGGCTCTTTTGAACGGCTCTATGAAACAAACGGCTCCCCAAGATCCGGATCTCTTCAAAGAGCCATTTATCCCATCACTCCAAGTGACCAAAAGCAACAATGTTGTTGAATACATAAAACATAAGAAATACAACCTTAACCCTGAAAACAACCCTAACTGTGAAAGATAATAAAAAACGATTGCATTGATTTCTTATTCTCATGAACCCAGCTCAATTGAAGTTAAACATATCAAATCAAGTGCAAACTCCCAAGACCCCTCAAAGACGCTAGTGCACCATCAAATTGACAGTATAAATTAAATAATTAGAGTTCATATCAAACTCTCTGTAGTGTTGCTTTAACAATACTCTGTAGAAAAGTATAATGGAGCCATCTTTCACACACCGGGACATATCTTTCACTCATGGTGTCGATTTTTGGCCAATAACATGAACTTAAAGTTGAACAACCTGATCAAACTGAACAAGAAAACAAACCAGAACAACTAAATTTTACTCTCATAAACTTCTTTAACCGTCATAAACATACAAAAACATCGTTTCTGCAAGATTTCTCAGCAATGAATGCTGGGTAAATACTGGTCTGTCTGACATGAYGTGGAAGAGGGCGGGGCATTTCAGAATGCTTCTTTCAACACTGCATGGTGTCATATAACAACACTGTTAAGGTTTATATAAGACTTAACTGTGGGCGGAGCTTATTTAACACTGTCTAGTGTTGAGATAACACTGTGGAAATCAACACTGTGAATTAACACCAACACTGGGTGTGAGTGTACTCAGAAAGTGTTAAAATAACACTAGGGGGTGTTAAATCAACACCCAAAAGTTTAACACTGAAATTTTAACACTCCTGTTTTTGCTGAGGGTAAAGAGCTGGTCCAGTGTTGCATATCCAAAATGGAAAATCGGGGCATTTGAAAAGCTGTGTGGAGGTCTTTTTTTTAAATCAAAAACAAGCCTTGACTTCATTTTGCCATATTTTCCTTTTAACATCACATGACTTAGAACATAATACGGAATTTGTGTACTGAAATTATTTTTTTCTACATTGGTAACTTGACTCAAACTTGTTAAAAATGTTTYATTTGTTGATTACAGACAAATACGAAAATTTGTTACTGAACGTTAGCTTAATYAAGTGGCTAACTGGATTCTGAACTATTAGCAGAGACTGATCAGTATTTGGTTTTTGTATTATGAATATCATATCATCAAAGATGTTTTTTTAATCCATTAACTAGCCTTTCTGTCCATCCGTTTTCTTCTTCTTACAGTATCTGGGGTCGGGTCGCGGGGGCAGCAGTCTAAGCAGAGAGAACCAGACTTCCCTCTCTTCAGCCACTTGGACCAGCTCGTCCGGAGGAATGCCAAGGCGTTCCCAGGCCAGCTGAGAAACATAGTCCCTCCAGCGTGTCCTGGGTCTTCCTCTGGGCCTCCTCCCAGTGGGATGTGCCCAGAACACCTCATCAGGGAGGAGTCCAGAAGGCATCCTAACCAGATGAACCACCTCAACTGGTTCCTCTCGACGTGGAGGAGCAGCGGCTCTACTCTGAGTCCCTCCTGGATGACTGAGCTTCTCACCCTATCTCTAAGGGAGAGTCCAGCCACCCTGCAGAGGAAACTCATTTCAGCTGCTTGTATCCGTGCTCTTGTTCTTTCTGTCACTACCCAAAGCTTGTGAACATAGATGAGGGTAGGAACGTAGACCGACCAGTAAATCGAGAGCTTCACCTTCTGGCTCAGCTCTCTCTTCCACGACAGACTAGTACAGCGCCTGCATCACTGCAGACGCAGCCCCAATCCACCTGTTGATCTCCCGCTCCATTCTTCCCTCATTCGTGAACAAGACCCTGAGAAACTTAAACTCCTCCACTTGGAGCAGGACCTCCTCCCCGACCCGGAGAAMGCAGTTGACCCTTTTCCAGCTCAAGACCATGGTCTTGGATTCGGAGGCACTGATCCTCYTCCCGGCTGCGAACCGCTCCAGTGAGAGCTGGAGAGCCTTTTCAATTGTATAGTTTTAAATACAAAACTCCATYCTTTAATATAATTTTTATTTCTGTTATTTGTAGACAAAGCAACAGAGGGACACAGCTAAAAGACCAAAAAGCCTCGTGACCAGAAKTGAACATGGCAGAGCCCAGAGTTAAGGTAACAATTTACTACAGTGCAGCACAMTTGAGAGATTTACTTCTTCTAGGTCTGTTGCATCAACTCAAAGAGATGAGATAAAAAAATACACTTTCATATACCAGAAAAACACCAAAGCTAGCTCAGAGCTGAATAAATGTGAGCATACCTTGTACAGAAAGCTGTGCTGTCTTAGGTGCGAAGCCTGCCTGAACGTAGCAGGTGACTGGCCCGGCTTGTGGGTGGGAGACATTATGGATGATGAACTCCACACAGCTGTTGGAGCAGAGGCTGGCAGAAAACTGGTCTGARGGTGAGATTATCTCATTAGGGATGACAGTGAGTACTTGAGACCCTCCAACCATCCAGGACATGACCTGCCAGGGTCCCTGAATGGTAGCAATGAATCGAGCATCGGAGCCCAGCAGCACTGCTGAATTCATTGGTTCTAGCTGCAGCTCTTGTGTCGTCGCTGCAATGAAAAATAATACAGTTTACAACAACATCCTTCATCTGTTATGCACCACGTTGAATACTCTTCTCCTTTCAGGTGAGCACTATTCCTTAGGGTGGCTGTGGCAGAGTGGTTAACCAGTGGGTTGCRGGTTCGATCCCCCATCAGTTGTTGTGTTCTTGGGCAAGACACTTTTCCCACCTTYCCTACTGATGGTGAGGGTCACCTGTGCATGTCAGTGTACCCCAGGGCAGCTGTGGCTACAATATAGATTACATTGAATGGGTGAATGCCTGAAGTGTAAAGTGCCTTGGGGTCCAAGTGGACTTGATAAAGCGCTATATAAGTTCAAGCCTATTACCATTTACAGTGAGACCTGGAGGGGCGTGGTTGGGAGGAATCCCCCCACCCCCGATATGTCCACACAATGTCTTCTTATTGGACTTCTGTGCTTGTCATGGATTGTCCATAATGAACACCATGTTCAAGCATAAGGGTGTCCACATGTGCTCTTGGCACCAGGAGGCCGCAGTTCAATGATCAACTTTGTTTTCATRTCATCTGATCTGCAGCTGCATGTCTTGGACACTCGAGTGAAGAGAGGGCCTGAGCTGTCAGCTGACCACTACCTGGTGGTGAGTTGACTCCGGTGGTGGGGGAGGATGCCAGTCAGACCTGGACGACCCAAACGTATAGAGATGGTCTGCTGGAAACATCTGGCAGAGTCTCCCATCAGACGGKYCTTCAACTCACACCACCAGGAGAACTTTGAACACGTTCCGGGGGAGGTGGGGGACATTGAGTCCGAGWGGGCCATGTTCRGTTCTTCRATTGTTGAGGTGGCTTACCTGAGCTGTGGTCGCAAGGTTGTTGGTGCTTTTTGTGGCAGCAACCCTCGAACCTGCTGGTGGACAKCGGCGGTGAGGGATGCTGTCAGGCTGAAGAAGGAGRCCTATCAGGTCTTTTTGGCCTGTAGGACTCTGGAAGTAGCCGATAGGTATTGGCAGTCCAAGTAGATTGCGGCTCGGGTGGTCYCTGAGGCAAAAACTCAGGTGTAGGAGGAGTTCAGAGAGGCCATGGAAAAAGAATTCCATACATCTTTGAGGCGATTCTGGTCCACCATCCGGCGTCTTAGGTGGGGYAAGCGGCTCGCCACCAACACTGTTTATGGTGGGGATGGTGCGATGCTGAACTCAACTCGGGACGTTGTGTGTCAGTGGGCAGAATACRTRGAAGACCTCRTCAATCCTACCGACACYTCTTCCCATGAGGAAGCYTGGCCTGAGGACCCTGGGTKGGACTCTCTATTCTCTGGTGCCAAGGRAAATGGTCAATGGCTTAAARTTATATAYCGCCTTATCAAGTCCACATTTTCTTGTGGTGGCTTTCTTACTTGCAACAAGTAACATGGCCAATGGTCTTTTATCAGTGTTATTCCAGTRTGTTGTAGGTACATCACTTAAGTACAATATTTTACATTTAAGAGGAATTTTGCGTCAAATACATCATTAACCTGTTTACAAATCTGTGCCCAATAGTTAGAAATAACCTGACATCTCCAGAAAATATGGAAGTGGTTAGCACCAGCGGCCCCACATAGTCTCCAACATGCATCTCCACTYTTGGGGTAYTAAAATATCTAACTATGTTCTTCCAGGTAAACTCTCGCCATGTGTTAGACCCTATTATTGTCCACTGGAGCTGGCATGCAGTATATTGGCCCAACTTTCCAGTGAAATAATCATATTGCCCTCCTTTTTCTTAAAATTTTTTAATAACTTCTGTGCCAACCTTTTTACATCGTTGAATGCCCTTATATAACTTGAAAATGAGATCATTCTGTGAATGAGACAGAGTTAGAAATGTCTGTAAGAAGCATAAATCTTTWTTTTCAGTCTGCTTTTAAATTTTGTTGGTAAWAATMTCTGACCTGCAAATATCTGTAAAAGTCATCTTGACCTAAACTTTTGTCTTGTAGAGTCTCAAAGCTCTACATGATGAAGGAATAACGTGTTATTTTATATCTGCCAATAAAGCCATAATAGGCATATCCTGTCTAACATTGACCTATATATTATTCCATCCAACAAAACAAGTCGGAAATTTCAAGCAAATTAAGGGTCTTAGTTGAGCAGCATATTAATAATCCCAAAAAAATATTTCCTAAGACAAGGAAGACCCATTCTCCCTTTCTCTTTATATTTATTCCTGGCTCTTTTTTCTTGCCATATTTTGCCAACATCCTGTCCCACTCATCAGATAGTTTCTGGGGTCTTTTAACTGGTAAACACTGGTAACACTGGTAAATACAACAGGTAAAGCATACGGGGAATTTTGCCAACATCCTGTCCCACTCATCAGATAGTTTCTGGGGTCTTTTAACTGGTAAACACTGGTAACACTGGTAAAAACAACAGGTAATGCAAACGGGGAAGAATGTTCACAGTTGTTTCCACTCGAGAATGTAAATTTAAGAATTGAACAGTGCTTCACCTCTGTAAATCAGACTTTATATTTGAAGTTAAAGGCCCTTAATTAGCTTCAAGCAATTTAGAGTAATCCTTTGTTCCAAATACCCCAAATATTTAATATATTCAGAACCCCAGTTCCATTTATACAAGTTCTTAATCTTAGCTGATGATATCTGGATTTTGTTAGCGTTAATTTTAAATCCTGAGAGTGATCCATGTTCCTCAAGTGCTGTCATCAATTTGGGGAGCGTCTGATTAGGCTGTGTTAGAAATATTAAGACGTCGTCTGCAAGTAGGGCTAGTTTTTGTTCCTCTGATGCCATTGTGACCCCTTCAATATCAGACCTCTTCCTCAACCACTGACCTAGTGGCTGAAGGAACAGGCCGAGGAGGAGTGGAGAGGCACCACAGCCCTGTCTTGATCCTCTCGGTAAAACAATAGTGTTGGTCAAATCCCCATTTAATTTTGTCAGTGGGTTTGCGGTACAAATTGGAGATGTCAACTATGTTTGAGTGAAAACCAAATTTTACTAAACTTTATATAAAAACACCCAACGTACTGAATCAAATGCTTTTTAAGCATTTAAACTTAAGATCAGAGTTTGCAATATTAACATGCTTCATAATGTGCAGGGTCTGTCGAATATTATCTTGAGTTTGCCTTTGTCAAATAAAACCTGTCTGATCTTTATTAATGAGGTCTGGTAGTTTAGTTTCTATTCTTTTAGACAGGATGGAAGTGAACAATTTATAATCAATATTTAATACACAGATTGGATGATAGTTACCACACTCTAATTTGTCCCTATTATCCTTTGGAATTATAAAAATAATGGCGTCATTCCATGATGGAGGAATTTCTTTCCTCTCCCAGTTAACGATCCATTGCTGGAATAACCTGGTCATTCAGTATGTTCAGGTAGTCAGCTGACCTCGTTCTTTGAGCACAGACTGTTGTTGAACCTATGACCAACTGCAGAGATGCCACATCATAGACCTTACATCCAAGTGGACACTTGGTTTTGGCCGGGCAGTGTATTTATTCTTTTACTAATATTTTTGGAGTCAGATTTCCCATTGGACGGGTCTTTTGGGTGTAATTGAATATTGAAAATGATTATATGACTTTATTATAATTTCTGCATTCGTTTTTCAAACAAAACTGTCACTCAGTATCTGAGATATTTATGTTTACTAGGGTACAATAATTACTTTATGATAGTCACAATGAAATTTATGCAGTGGTTCATCCGATATTTTGCTAACAGACAGAAAAGCCAACACCCACAAAGACACATAACATCATTATCACCCATCATTCAGGATGGTGGGAAGTCGTCACTGACCTGAGCACAGTATTGAACAGGTGCTGTAAAGGCTAAGCCATAATGTCCAAGAAGCAACCATGCTGCGCTGCTGACCTGCAAAATGAATGGAAACATGTAATAATCACGCAGCCAGGCAAAGGTTTAGAAACCTGTTTAAAAATAAAAAATACATCCATAAAAACGTGCCCAGGCAGTTACAGCTTTCTAAGACTGTCGAAGATTAAAAACTAAAGATTATTACTGTGTTCCTGTTTCTTCTGTATTGTTTTGGACTCTAACTATTTCAGCCTATCAGGTATGGAAACATTCAGCTCATTCGAGACATTACAGCTGTGAGTTTTTACATGTTTTTTAAAATAATTTAACTTTATTTACATTTTTTATGGAAATGCATTGAGATTCCTTCAAGTCTTTGAAAAACTGTTTTTTATCTACTTAAGCTTATAAGCTTCATTTTATGCTTTCAGCTATTGTTTTGATAATTCTAGCCTTTAGCAAATGTTTTGCTAATTTTAGCTTTAGCTACTATTCTGCAAATTTGTGCTTAGCTATTTAGCCAGTGCTTAGTTTTATCMGTGTGCTACTTTTCTGATAGCTTTTGCTTTAACTTAGTGTTTTACTCATTTTACCTTTWTAGCTATTGTTTTGCTAATTATAACTTTTCGGTTCTGTTCGCTAGTTTTAGCTTTTATCTACTTTTCTGGTTTAAGTTTTATTTTTGTTTTTTTCTGATGTTATTGTTTAGTTCCTAGGTTTTGTTTTGCTTATTTTACTTTCAGTTTTTGTTAATGACACCTTCCTGAAATATTCATGTCATTCTTTTAAAAAGATTTTCAATAAACACATAAAAACGTAACCAAAAGTGTATCGTATGACTTTTTTTTTTTTTTTTTTGAGATTCCTGAAAAACGTCAACAAATGACTCAGGTTATTATTTTTGGCGATGTGTATTTATGCTAATTTTAGTTTCAGTCCCAACATTTTACACTACAATTTGTTTCAGCTTTTTTCATCAAACTTAAGCAAAATCATCCAACACTCTGCTTTTTTAGAGAAATTTTAACTTTTTCTAGTCCATTCAATTGGAAATSGCTCAGTTTCACCTCTTTCTGTTACATCATGCTCTAAATAACTTCCTCAATAAAATCAAACCAAAGCTTAATTCGATTTTTTATATATATTATATGTTGCAAACAATTAAGTCTCAGAATATTAACACATCGCTCATCATCACCATCGATTAGATGAACTTACTGTGACTGCTTCGGTCGTATTTGTTGGGTCAAATCTTTATTTCCTGGAACAGTKGGTGAGACTGAACCTGTGGCTGTGAAACTGACAAAGAGGGCAAAGATCAACCTGGGACTGTGACAACCCAGCCCCTGTTTGTTTAGCGTACCTGTCACTGAGTGTTAAATGCTTTCACCTGAACCTGCAGGTGGGGCTGCAGCAGTGTGAAGCTGAAAACTTGTGTCAAATTTATTACAGATTAGTTTCACAACATTAAGATTCTTGTCTCGTTTTTATGTCTTGTCTCTAGAATATTGTGTCTTTATCACTATTGTGATTCGTTTCCCATCCAAGTCATCTCCATTTTGCCATGCTTCTCCTCCTGCATACTTTTTTCTAGAGCTGCCATTGTAATTTATATC